CCCCAAAACCCCAAAACCCCAAAACCCCAAAACCCCAAAACCCCATGAAGAGAACAAATCGGTTATGTTAGAACTCAGTAAGTTATATAAAAAGGCTCAGGAATTATCATTAATATCTATTGACTAATTGACTTTATGGATTCATCAAAGAGCATTAACTCGAACTCTAGTGACTTCTCCACATCAATTGGAGACTTCAAACTTGAAAAAGAAATAGGAGAAGGAGCATTCTCTAAGTAAGTCTTCACTTATATTCCATTGAGGGTTGTTGTACTGATTGTATAATAGAGTAATGCTGGCTACTAATGAAATCAGTTCAAAGGAATGAGCAATTAAGTTTATCAAAGCTGACGAAAGCATTAGTGAGAAGAATCTGAAATCCTTCTTTAAAAATGAAGTAAAAGTACTGAAGAAGTGAGACCATCCTAATATCTGCAAAATACTTGGGTATTCTTACAGAGATTCTGTTCCTGGAAAAGAGAATTACTGAGTTAGTTATATTGCTTTAGAGTACATGAAGAACGGTACTCTATTTGATATTCTCGAAAATGGAGCTCTTGAAGCGAAGTATACCAGAGTCTTGTTCAAGCAGGTTCTCTCTGCTATTGAATACCTCCACAAATTAGGCTATTCTCACAGAGACATCAAACTAGACAATATCTTAGTCAGTTCAAATTATGACTTAAAGCTTGCTGATTTCGGATTGGCTTCGAAATCTAAGAAAAGTTCGACAGTAAAGGGTACCCTTTACTATATGGCTCCAGAGGTTGTTGCTGAAAAAGAATATAATACTAATGATTCTGATCTGTATGCAATAGCAATAGTTTTATTTTCGATGTTAACTCATAGTATGCCATTCAATGTTGCTAGCAAGAAATGTCCGCTTTACAGAAAAATCATGACCGATGACTGGGCCTCTTTCTGGAAGACACATTCATCTTCGAAACTTATCGATAACGATTTCAAAGATCTTTTCGCAAAGATGGTTGACCCAAACCTAGAGTTGAGGCTTAGCATTTCTGAAATCTTGGATCATCCATGGATGAAAGGCGAAACTGCAACAAAGGAGGAGGTTGTAAAACATTTGAAAACAAGAATTCAAAGTGAAGTAAATCTGACGAAAACACAAAATAAAGAGGAAAGCACAAATATGGCTGAGCGTACAGGGTATTTCAACATTAGAAGTGCAGGGAAATTGATGAAGTATCTTGAGGAATTTGCTAAAAATGAGAAACTGAATTATAAAACCTGCCCAAATTATTACAGAATGATTGCTGAAATCGGGAAAAAGCCTAAAGACCTCGTCCTCCAGATGAACATCTTGAAGAGACACGAAAGCTATCAGAGATGTGTAGAACTAATCTTGATCAACGGAAAAAAGAAGGACTTCCTAAACTTCAAATCTAAGGTAGAGGAGTTTATTGCTAGTCGACAAAATAATTAATGTTCGTCGATCGAACTGATAGAATACTTGTTTGTAATTTAATAATCGATTTCAAAATATTTCTCACCAATCGGGGTTTTGGGGTTTTGGGGTTTTGGGGTTTTGGGGTTTTGGGG